AATGAAGCTAATTTTATGCAAATGAAGCTAATTTTATGCAAATCCTTTGCTAATTTTATACAAATTAAGCTATTTGTTGGAAATAAACCTAATTTCCAAATTCATTTGAATAAATTAGCATAAAATTAGCTTCATTTGCATAAAGTTCATGCAAATTTCACGCATATGGAGCAAATTTTATGCAAATTTCACGTTAATGAAGCTAATTTTATGCAAATATATGCAAATGAAGCTAATTTTAAGCAAATGAAGCTAATTTTATGCATATTAAATAAAAAGCTATCCATGTGCTAATGTCCTCATTTTATGCTAATTTTATGCAAATGAAGCTAATTTTATAGTATTTTATGCAAATCTTAAGCTAATTTTATGCAAATGAATCTAATTTTATAGTATTTTATGCAAATCTTTTGCTAATTTTATGCAAATTGGGCTATTTGTGGGAAATAAATCTAATTCTATGCCAAATGTAAAAGCTAATTTTATGCTAAAAGCAAAGCTAATTTTATGCAAATGAATTTTTGCTTACTTAAATGTATGCAAATTAAGGTGTTTGTTTTATTGTATTCGTATTTATCTTGATTTACGAAAATTATGACAATTTTTGTAAATTTGATGCGAATGTTTTTTTTAATTTGTACTTATTCATTTAAATCTTTTATAATTATTGTTTACTTATAAATTTTTTATGCAATTGCCTGTAAATTTTTGCAATCATAAATTTATGCAAATACAGTGTAAATGGAAATAATAGAAATTTTAGCCAAAATCCGATAATTTTCTGCAAATGGTTATTATTTTAAGCTAATTTAAACAAGTTTGTCGTATTTTTGCTCATTTACGAGACTTTTATATAAATTAATGTTGTTATGTAAATTTATGGTAAGAAGTATGTTAATTTATAGAAATTTCTTTAATCTATGCAAAGTAAAAGTAAAGTTGATAATTAGTTATTATTAATGTAAATACTAGTGTATGGAAATTTATGCAAATTTACGAAAAATATACTATTGCCTGACTGAAAATGACCCGAGTCAAAACTTTTTTAAAATACCTACCGACCCAATAATATTACCCTGAGTCAATAGAGGGCAAGCAAACATTATTTTTAAGATGGTCTTACTTATCTGAAAAGAAATACAAAAAACATTCAGATTAAAAAAGGTTGAGAGTACACAATACAAATCCAGATCTAATTATAATATTTAAAAGTTTGTCGGTAGAAAGCTTACAAATGTGTTTGAGTGAAGTATCATCAAAACTAAATATGAAAGAAAAAACATTAGAAGCAAAAGCAAGCAAAAAATTCGCAAAACTTCTGATTTTTCTTAAATAAAGAGTTGAGAGTACACAATACAAATCCATATCTAATCATAATATTTAAAAAGTTTGCCGGTAGAAAGCTTACAAATGAGTTTTAGTAAAGTATCATCAAAACTAAATCTGAAAGAAAAAATTTCATTAGAAACAGAAGCAAAGCAAAAAATTCTCAAAACTTCTGTTTTTTAAAGTTGAGGATACACAATACAAACCCAGATCCAATCATAATATTTAAAAAATTTGACACTTCTACGATCATGTTAACAGAAGGGGGTTTAAGTATAAGTTTAAAAAAAAAAAAAAAAACAAAACAAAACAAAACAAAACAAAAAAAAAACAAGAAATAAAAGAATATATTATCATTCCAATGACAGCGTGTCACTTCATTAGATCAAGCGTGCAAATTTTTCACATGTTCTCCACATTTGGCATCGATTGGATGGTTGCTTTCAATGAAATGAATACTACTTTGCATATGATATAGAGAATCCAGCAATACACTTATATAATACTGACCAATCGCATTGCGAGATTGTTTACAAGGACAGCATTTGTAATAGGCAACGGCACGTGATCAGTCAAAGCCATCGGCTTCTCTGTTCATATGCAATGTATAGTATTCTTTTCATTGAAATCAAGCATCCAATCGATAAGAAATAATGTGATCAACATGTAAAATTTTTAACACACTCCATTTAACGAAGACACGCTGCTATTGGAATGATAGTACAATAACTATAAACGTTGCCTGAGAAATGTTATACTCTGGCCCAGTGGAAATGTTTGGGAAGCAATGCTTTATCTAAGCATTTGAACCAATTTTAATTTTCTAGCTCCGAACCTATCTATTATCATTTTACTTACAGCTTGACAGTTTGCTTGATGGGGCGTGCTAAAACTTTTTTGTGCTGATTATCATTTTACTCATCGATTGGATGTTTGCTTTTAATGAAATCAATACTAATTTGCATATAAAACGCAGAATACAACAATACCCTGATAATACTGACCAATCACATTGAATGGCATCGTTGGAAACCCCCGGGTGAACTCGTCTTCACTTATGATACATGTAAGTATAAAGACAATTAAGATCGCCCATGGGTTTCCGACGATGATTGAAGGCCCGTTTTCTGTTCTAAAAAAAGCATGTATTGTAATTGCTGTGATTTGACCGCTTGGAATTTTCAATACGTATAAAGAAAAGAGAATGTAATTAGTAAGACTACTCTGTTATGTCGGAGGGAGTCGTTCTTCCATCTTCCCGAATCCTTCGTTATTTGGAGGGAAAAGGTGATGATAATGAATATTGATTGACAACATAAATCCTTTAAACTATACAAATCATAAACAGAACACAAAACACTGGTACCTGGAGAGTTTTTAAGCTCACTTTATTCTGTCCACTGATACAGTATTCATTTGTTCTTACACATTTTGCCTGGTTATCTTTAGTTTCATGGCGTTCTTATCGTGACTGAAATAAATTCGAAGTTTCGACGAGTTCCCAGTACTTCATCAAACGTTCGAGTACCAAATATTAAAATCCGTACTCCGGTGTCTTTTTTTCTTCATAAAACTTAAAATACATTATCATATTTATCAAGGCTTATAAAGAAACAAGATGTGATTGTGAAACACTGATGCCCCCGTATGGCAACATAGTGAAGGTTAAGCTTTGAAATCTCAAATTTCGATGCTGGTATCTAAAGTAAGCCCTTTTGACAAGAAATACAAATATGAAATATAAAACCCTAGCACCATCTGTTCAAGGGTTATGACCAAGGTTAACATTTTTAAAGGTAGGGCAAACTCCGGGGTCAAGGTCAAAGGGTGAAGGTTGTTGGTTTCTAAAGAAAGGCCTTGTCTCAAAGATTACATATGGGAAGTATGAAAGCGCTGGCCCTTACCGTTTAAAAGTTATGGCCAAGGTTAAAGTTTGTAAAAAGTAGGTCAAACTCCAAGGTCAAAGGGTCAAAGTTCTTGATATCCAATGAAAGGTCTTTTCACAAGGACTAAATATGTGAAATACTCTAGCCCCTACTGTTCAAATGTTATGACCAATGTTAAATTTTTTTCGTAAGTACGGAAATCTCCAACGTCAAACTTGTTGGTTTCAAATGAATGGTCTTGCCAAAAAAATTGATATTTGAAATATGAAATTCCTAGTATCAACCGTTTTAAAATTAGGGCCAGAGTAAAAGTTAGTAATGTTTTGGTAAAAGTGGATCAAACTCCGAGGTCAAGGTCAAAGTTCTTGATATCAAATGAAAGGCCTTGTCACAAGGATTAAATATGTGAAGTATGAAAGCCCTAGTCTTAACTTTTCAAAAATTATGGTCAAGGTTGTATTTTTAAAGTAGGTCAATCTCCAAGGTCAAAGGGTCGAGGTTCTTGGTATCCAATAAAGTGTTTTCTCACAAGGATTAGGGTAGGTCTGTACTTTCAGAATTTTCTGTCAAACTGATAGGTTTTTTTTAATTTGAATGCCTTGAATAAGTCTTCAACTAACTAAAACACCCATAAAAGACATATCTTTGCAGGTTAATTTTCATACAACATGTCTCAGAGCACATACCTCTAAAAACTCAACATCTAAAATTGAACATAAAGAAGTGTGATATCATATTTTATTTAGTTATGCTCCAAATCACATTTATGTTAAAACTTATGAAGATCAAAAATTTTCATTTGCAAAGAGATTATTTGAAATCTTTACTGCAAAACATTAACAACTTGATGTTGAATCTGTCCATGTCTTTCAGAAAAAATCTCAAAATATCTTTATTCTTTATTATTCTCAAAATCCATACTGTTAAGATAAAAAGATTTAGTTTAAAAAAAAGCAATAAAGAATTTTGTGTCTGTGTATGTACCAAATGACATATAGATCTTATGGACAGAATGCAAAGTGTTAATTTCCAGAAATAATGTATATCAAATGCTTTGTTTGCACAATAACAATATAATAAACAAACATATACTTGCTAAACTATTTTCAATCACCCAAAAATTTTTATTTCAATAGACAAGTGATATTCAGAATTTTAATTTGATTTGTAAAATTAAAACCGGATCCGTAAAAGTATGGGCTTTCCTTAAATATGTGAAGTATGAACGCCCTAGCACTTACCGTTCAAAAGATATAGCCAAGATTAAAGTTTTTTTTTTTAAAATAATACGGAAATCTCCAAGGTCATGGTCAAAAGGTCAAAGTTGTTGGTATCCAAGGAAAGGTCTTGCCACAAAGAATACATATATGAAGTATAAAAGTCCTGGTATCTGCTGTTCAAAAGATATGGCCAAAGTAAAAGTTTGCAACTTTTTTTGTAAAAGTGGGTCAAACTCCAAGGTCAAGGGGTCACATTTGGTGGTACCCAAAACACAATACAGGAATACACATGTGAAATATGGAAGTCATAGCTAAACTAAATCAAAAGTTATAGGTAAGGTTAAAGTGTTTGTAGACAAACATACAGACAGACGGACGGACACGACAAAACTATATACCCCCAAAACTTCGTTTACGGGGGCAGAAAACGCTAAATACATGTATCTATGCTATGTATTAACAAAAGCGCGTAATTTCAGGATAGAACCATCTGTGAGGGTTCGTGGCTCTTGCTTTTTTCAAAGCAATTGCTTTCAAGATGTAAACAAAATAATAGACAGTCAGTGAGAGTTTGTCAGTTTCTCTTATCAGAGGATCAGTGAACCTTAAGGTAAACAGGTGTCTGTAATTATATTTTATTCTACAAAACAGACAATTGAAAAAAAATACAATTTTTACAACTTCACAAGCGTTCTGGAACATAAAATATGATGATATATAACTTAGTTAGAGTAGCGATTTTTTTCACTAGATATGCATCTGCTTCATGGCGATGATTTCCTTTTAACCATCATCACTGTTTTCTCAATCTCTGTGCCTTTAGACACTACAGGGTACCATGGTTGATCCCATGACGAGGAATCGTAAGGTCCGTTCAGGTACGCGTCGTGGCAGCTGTTAAACCACCACCCTCCTTTATGACTCTCGGCGCAGTGTATGTGGATCCCGTCATTGTCTCTATCAGGTGTCGAAAACATCATATTGTTGAGGACGTCACCTGGAGGTCTCTCGGTCATGCTGTTCCCTTTTGAAAAGAAAAAAAAATCGACTTCGCCATATAGTTAACAAAATATTTCAGATACTGCAGTGGTTGTATGCTCCGATGAACTTTTCTTATTATCCGTTGTCCGTCTTCCAGTTCGTCCGTCTGTAAAAACTTTACATATTTTCAACTTTTCAAGAACTACTGGGCTAATTTTAACCAATGTTGGTACAAAAAATCCTCTGGAGAAGGGAAGTTTAAATTTTTATATGAAGGACCAAATCCTCTTCTAAAGAAAGATAATTAAGAAAAGACATAAAGAGGGAAAAATCAATAAAAAGCTTCTCAAGAATCACTGAAGCAGTAAATCAGAAACTTTTATGGAAGCATTCTAAGTACTTAGTATAGATTATGAATTTGTTAAACCGTGGTCCCAGAATTCGGCTGGGGTTACAGTAGGGAATCAAAATTTTTAATTCAATCATATAGCAAAAATCTTTTCTTTTTTTTTTAAACTTCTCAATAACTACTGGGTCAGTAAAGCTGAAATTTATGTCGAATCTTCTTGAGGTTGTGTAGATTCTAATTTCTTCACACCAGACTAATTGATACATTTGTGAAACACTAATGCCCCAGCATGACAGCTTTTTGCGAAAGTTGATTTTCTAAAATGCAAGTAAAGATCCAAGGTTAGTGAACAAAAAACCCCACTGTTTCCCCTAAAGAACAGACTTGTCTCAACTACATGTAATATACCTGTGAAATTTGAAAGCCCATGCACCATCCATATAAAGAAAAGGGCCAAGGTTAAAGTTAAATTATGAATGTTGATCATGTCAAAGGGTCAAACTAAAGGTACCCTGGGGAAGACCTTGTCATAAACAATACACATGAGATTTATTTAAGCTTCAACGTCAATTGGTCAGGAGTTGTGTGGGTTTTTTTTCAAAAGAAGTCAAACTCCAAGATCAAGATCATAAGGTCAAAATTGTTGGTATCCAAAGGAAGGCCTTGGCATATGGAATACACATGTGAAAAATGCATGATGGCACCAGTATTAAGTGTTCAAAAGTTCAGTCTTGGGTTAAAGACTTTTAAAAGTAGGTCAAACTCAAAGGTCAAGGTTAAAAATATTTATATCTATTGTTCTTATACAAAACCCTATTAACAATTGTTTAAAAGTTATAGCCAAGATTAAAGTTGGGTGAATTCTTGCAAAATTTGCTAAAACTCCATAGTCAAGGTGAAGAGGTCAAATGTGTTAGTACCCAAAGAGAGACAATGTCAAATATAAAATATGAGAGCTCCAACTTTCATTAATCAAACGTTAAGGGCAATGTTAATGTTTTTTGCGGGCAAACAGACAAACACACAGACGGATTTACTACAACTATAAACCTCCCGATTCTTCGATTGCAGGGGCGTAAGAACAAATATAACGGATATCTGATAGAAATGCGCAAATGTTATTCAAAGATCATGATAAAAAAAGAGATCCTTTTTGAAGTCCTTATATGAAACTACATCAGTAGAATCTAGCACGGAATATTTAGTTGAACCATGGCTTTATGTAATTTAGCACTTTTTCATCTTTAATTTTTTTTTTTTTTTTGCAATCAGAGGTTTTCTTCAATATTAAACCATTTTGACGTTGAGAATTGCTGGTGCCGCTTTCAGATTCTCAAGAGTTATAATCAATGGGGTAGGTTTTAAGAATCTTCCAATCTGTTTTGGGAAACTCGAAATGGGGCCAGACAACTAAATAATGACACGTACATTTTTATTTAATTATCTGCCTTCAGTGTCATTAAGTATTTTGTTATACTCGAGCTCTCTTCTCAATATATAATTATTGAATATTGCCAAATATATCATTCTTGCAACCTATAGTTCAAGGCTTTATGTAAATAGAAACTAAACGCTGACTGTGCTCTCTTTGACAGTGTTTAGGCCATTGATTGCCACTTGAATACTAAATAAACATGTTCGAGATTCCAAATACTCAGGCTATGATAATTAAAATAAAAAGCAATAAATGATACCAGAAAACTATGTTTATCTTCACTTTATGTTATACATTATGTAT